CCGCCATTGCCCTAGAGTCACTCGAACCTCACCACTAGCCATCGCTCGGGACCGCCCGCCGTGATCTCCATCGAGCTTGAAACAATGCCGCCTGGTCCTGGCGATTTCTCCCCAAGCCCCATCATTGCCCTAGATGGTCGTCATAACTCCACCGCCACCCGCAAAGCCCTATTAGGAGTCAGGCGACGTACGCGAGCCTAGCAACGGCCAACACATCGGCGTTGCCGGGGACGAGCTCATGGCGCTTGGGCGCCTCCATGCCACCGAACTTGGTTATCGCCTTGGCTCCCCTTCGACCCCTGCTTCCCTTCCAATGGCTTCCCTCGGCCTCCAACAAGTGTCGCGTCCTCGGTGACCTTCTTAGCCGAAATTGAGATCGGTGCCTATGACGTGTTCGCCGAAATTCCCCAAAGATTCTCGGGGCCTATCAACTGTGAGGTGATGATGGTTGTCTTCTGTCATGAATGCAAGGAATCAAATGTAAATGCTCATAACATAGCTAAAAGTTTGTTACGATCAAATCCAGGTCGTCGTGTTTGGTTTTGGACCCTCAAATTATGTAAACAATGTTCTAAATCATAATAAATTTTGGGTGTTCCGCTATTTATTTATTTTTGGATTTTTCCATTATCTACCAAAGCAGCACACACATTAAGATTCCAAAAAATATGTACCAAGCTTAGAGGTAAATTTTGGGTCTCATATGAAGCGGGTTGTCTTCATATAGTCCCAATAATTGGCAGAAGGCAACCACTGGACCGGCCGCCGATTCACTTAGTTTAGGACAACATACCCCATCACCCCCTTGTCGAGCCGACCTTGTCGTTGCCCCATTCCCCATCTGCCCATGTCTTCCACAACACCTCAAAAATGATTGTCTGTGTTGCAAAGCCACATCCTCACTTCTTGCCCTCTCAACGGTGTGTAGCTCAGCAATGCAGCAGTTGTCCGGCCCGCAGCATCGCGCTGCTGCCAGCTCATAGCAAAACGTGCGCGAGCTTGCGAAGAGCATGCATACTACAACACAAGACTCACAACACAACTGTAGCATCGATCCATGGTTCGGCTTGCAGTGTCCTGAGTGGCGCCTCGCATGCAACACAGTTAAGAAATTTTTTTTTGCAAGGGATTTAAAATGAGAGTTTATTCTGAAGTAAATCAATTGGGAGATGCTTTTCTAGTCCCATATATGTTTCCTATCTTCCATATGAAAACTGTCAATTCTCAGAAGATCCATCGTCTGCGGCGATGAACAAACACGTTGGCGGACCCTCCAAAATTACGGCACCGGCGACATCTGTAGCACTGGTGGGTTGGTTGGCCGGCCTGCAGCACCGGTGGGGCGCTTGCAACACTCATGCATGAACAGCGAACTGGCCTGCATCAGCAGTTATCGTATTCGCAGCATGTCAGGCGTCCTTGCAGTAGTGGCGTGCCATACACACACACAAAGAGAGAGAGGAGAGTGAAGGAAGGAGTGTGGTGTTTTTTAGCAAAAAAAATCTGAACATGTCAAAAATCACAAAATTCTAAAGGCTTGTGTTCATAATAAAGAAAACTTGTCAAAAATGTCTGAACATGTTTTTTTAGAAAAAAAAATCTGAACATGTAAAAGACAGAGCACATGTGGGAATGTTGTTGTGTGGACTAACTTGGTACCCTTGTTTTTAGAAACAGGTACCGTTGTTTTTTGAGGGAGTGTGGTGTGGGCTAGCACGGAGCATACTGAAGAGGCCCATATGCGTGTGTTAGCAAAAAAAATAAAGAGGCCCATATGCGTGCGCGTATTCGGGACGCACGACGGAGCGAGCTCACAACCGCCGTCAGAAACGAGCCCCGTGACTGCTCGACTTCTCCGGCGAGCCACACGGTGCTCGGGGCTTCCGGCGGACGACGAGGGGGAGCGCCGCGAGCGGGAGGCTACGGCGTACGCGGGCGGGATAGCCGCCGGAGCAGAGGGCAAAGGAGTGGCATCAACCGGCGGCGACGGCGAGCGCGGGGATCCGGGGAGGCCGATGTAGCTCAGCTCGTCTGGCCTCCGCCACTCGGGCATTCCCCGGAGCGCGGCGGCCACCGACCAACGGAGGAAGCGCGCCGTCGCCGGCCGGCGGCGAGGGGCGCATGGCGGAACGGCGGCGGAGGAGGCAGGGGCACTTCCTCCACGCGCGCCGTACTCCGCACGGCAACAGGGCAGGTGAGCGCCCGCCCGCGCGGCGCGTGTGGGCCCCACCCTCTGTGGCTCGTCGAGCGGGCCCGGTGGCACGCGCCTGGGCCGTTGGATCGGCCACAGCTGGCACGGGCGGCGATCCAACGGCTCAGGACGCTCGCACGCGCGCGACGGGGGCGAAGGGAAGGAAAGGGAAGGAGACGACGGAGGCCGCGGGTGCTTTATTTGCTGCGCCTGCGCCTGCGCCCGCCTGCAAACTCTGCTCTTCTCTGCTGCACAACCGCCCCGCTTTTGATCCTCCGTAGCGAAGGAAGGAAAGGTGAGGCGATCAACCTGCATTTCCCCTCCCCTCCCCTCCCTCGCTCCCCATCCCCTCTCTGGTTTCGTCCGCGTCCAACCTAAACCCCAGAAACCCAAACCCCCGCAGCCGCAGGGTAAGATTCTTCTTCCTCCTCTCATCACCGCCTCTGCTCTGTTCTTGCTTCGTTGCATCATGCGGTGGTGGTGGTGGTGGTGGTGGGGTTTCTGTCCTCCGTCCTTCTCGATGCTGTTTGGGCGCTGCTGATCGAGCAGAGGGCTGCGCTTCTTGAATCTTCAGAGTCGAGGCCTCTTTTTCTGTGCGTGCGGATTTTGCTTCGGGCCTGCTCCCGTCTCGTGTTCCTTGCGCCGCGTCGGCAATTTTCAAGTTGGTACACAGGACCGGGGCTCCGTCGCGATTTCTCTTCACCCTGCTCGATCCTGCGTGGTTCGTTTTTGTCGCTGCCGCTGCTTGCATTCGGTGGTAATTTTCCTGGAGGAGGACCAACAACACCGAGACTCCATGGTGATTTCTGTTCGCCTCTTCGGTCCTGTTTACGTTTTGGTTGCTGCCTCTGCTGCTTTTGCTCTTGCATTTGGTGCTTATTTTCCTGGACATGGAGGAGGACGAGGAGCACCGAGACTCCGTGGTGATTTCTCTTCGCCTCTCCGGTCCTATTTAGTTCGTTTTTGCTGTCGATGCTGCTCTTGCTCTTGCATTTGGTGGCGATTTCTGGGGGAACCCCATCGTCGTTGATCTCCGTTCGCTCTCTTCTGCATCTTGTCTGGTTGCTTCTGCTCTTCTCATGTTACGCTGGCGGCTGATGGTGGTATTATTGTTGGAGGAGGAGTCTCACGAGCACCACGCTGATCTCCATTCCTGTTCTCTTCTCCATCCCAACTGGATACTATTCAACTCTTGATCTTCCCATCGTTCTTATCCCTGTTCTTATCGGCAACTCTGATGATTCTGGTGTCGAGAACTCGCTCTTTCTGCATGTGCCACAGCGTGTGGATTTTCTCTTCGAAAACAAAAACAGCGCCCTCTTCGTCCTTCCGCTCTCTGGAGTGCTAATTATTGTTCTCAATCCATCTCCGTGTAGTATCTCGCGCATCCTCCAAGTTCCTCAGAAATTGAGTTTGTCTGTACTTCCTTGGTGCTAACGTGCACTGCAACCTTGAGATCTATAAGTTCTTCCTTGTTATGAACGAGTGTGCTGACGTGAGTTATTTTGATATGTATGCTGTTAGTGGCAAAGCCTTGATTCCGTTTTGATCTGCATTGTGTTTGTGCACCTGAGTAATGTAATTTTCTGATTATATAAGCATACCTTATGCACCCAGGGGCCCTTAATCCAAGCATGATTTACCAACCTGCCAATCTGCAATTGAAAAATCTATAATATATTCAAATAGCGGCATAGATATGTTTTCCATTCTGCAGTGTGCCAGTGTAGTTCCAGTTCACATGCAGTAACATGATGGCAGTTATTTAGCTGTTTTTCTATCGTTCCTTTATCAAGTTTGCTGTCATATATATGCGTTCTGCAATGCAGTGACTGTACATTCAGTTTACATGCTAGTTTTTGCTGGTAAGGATTTCTAGGCTATGGTGTTTATACTGAAATCTTTCAGGAAAGCAAACCCAGCAATGGGTGATGCAACAACCAAGTGTTCTGCTGGAGAAGAGAATGACAGAATCAAGTATGCTATGTCATCTATGAAAGGATTTCGTGATGAAATGGAAGATGCTGTGAGTAATATTGCAGTACTTTGTAAAATTGTTGAGATGATAATTCTGCAGATGTATATAATCAATTTTGCTTTGCTATTGTGGTGAAATACTGAATTTGATCCGGACCCTTCTTATTTGCAGCTCACAGCTGTCCTAGATCTAGATGGTTACAGTTCCACATCATTCTTTGGTGTTTATGATGGCCATGGAGGTTTGATCTTCGTTCTGATACTGTTAGAACATATTCTAAAATTTTGTGCTGTTAGCATAACTGACCATTGCATGCACTGTTTAAAGGAAGCCTTATCATAACATCATAGCATCTGTGTATTACACTATATATGTGCATGCTTTGTACGTTTACTATTTGTCGCAAATTTTGGCTGTCAAAATCTTGTACAATCATGATGAAACAACTGTGCAATGATGCTTCAGTTCAACATGAGACCAAGTTTTGCAATCGGGTCTGAGCTGATATATAAACAGCGAGGGGCCAAACATTTATTCGATCTTATTTTTGTTAGGAGAGGAGAGGATTATGTTAGCAATATGTTCAGTAGTTCAGTGTGCTTTTTTACAGTAGTACACATGTATTGAAGGGATATTTCAGCTAGTGTTTGTCTTCGCACTGTTTTGATATATGACCTTGTATAGGAAATTAGGAATATGGTTGATTCAGCCTTCGTTTTCTGTTATATAAGATGGTCATGCAGAGTTATTTGTCTCTGTTTCAGGAGCTGATGTAGCATTGTATTGTTCAAGGCAATTTCATATTGAGCTCACCAAGGAACCAGACTATGGCAACAATCTGCGTACCGCACTGGAGCATGTGTATTTCAGGTTATTTTCTAGATGATTAAATCATGTACGCTACATATATAAGTACAGAAGAAAGTGACATATGGAACATGTGTGTGCAGGCGCATACAATATCGGCACAGGCATGCAGTTTTTCAAAAATTCTGAATTTTAGCTATAACACTCACCTGTAAAATTTCATTAAAAATATGACCAACTGTGGCCCCCACAAAAAACCAAGCATTAAGTGCCTCTAGACATGTTCACATAATCTTCACTCATATATATGCACTTCTTGTTCAATATTGGAAGGTAAAAGGGCCAATGCTACAGTGTTCGAGAAAGGACCAATGTTATACCCATTCCTTCCATAGTTGCAATTGCTACCTAAGTTCACTTATTGTCGCATGTTTGGATATGGAATACATAATTGTTTCATGCCTCCATAGTTACAATTGCTACATAAGTTCACTTATTGTCGCATGTTTGGATATGGAATACATAATTGTTTCGTGCCTCCATAGTTACAATTGCTACATAAGTTCACTTATTGTCACATGTTGCAGAATTGATAAGAAGTTGAAACGATCGGATGAATGGAAAAGGGAGCCAGCTCATCCTCCTGTTAATAGAACTTGGAAAAACTTGCTCAGGGCTGCTCTTTGTGATCCTAAGGTAACACTGAATGTTCTTTAAGCATTTAATTGTCGAAGAAATTAAACAAAATTTATCTCTCGGATAATGCTTCATACGGAAGGGATCAATGGGTATGATAAGGAGGATCTACTGTACTTTTACCGGATGTGCTTTGGAGTTGGTACTGATATATTTAACTCATAATTCCAATTTGTGTTCCATCAAGTGTCTGGTTTACCAAATTGGAAGGCAAACGTTCCTTTATGTTTCTCATTGCACCTTAGTAGTTACCATACTGCCAAAATTGAGGTGTGTTTGAGTTGACATTTGTTTATTACACCGTTTGCTTCTTTTATCGAAGGGCACATGGGCAAATTCCTTCCCTGGTGGTGTTACTTACTTTTGTTTCTTAATAGTCTGTTTTTCCATATGATTTTGGATTATTATTTTCTGTAGTATTACTCAGTTTGGAATTTGTTTTGCAGGAACGTTATGTTCCCCCCCTACAGGAAGGAACCACAGCATGTGTGGCTCTCATTAGAGGTAACCAGATTATTGTTGGAAATATTGGTGATTCCCGTTGTGTACTCTCAAGGAATGGTCAGGTATAGTGACTATTTTCTTGTCAAATTTCTGAGTGGGGCATCCTGTCATAATGAATGTGTCCAAGTAGTGCCTGACAATTCTTATATGCATTTTATCGGAAGGCAAATGATCTATCCACCGATCACAAGCCAGACCACCAACAGGAAAGGGCGAGAATTGAAAGGGCAGGAGGTCAAGTAACCAGGGATGAGAACCCTCAGAGAGATATCACAGGACGACTAGTTAGTATGGACTTGGGCATCCATCGCATCGGGGGGAAATTAGCCATATCCAGAGCGATTGGTATGGTATTTATCTAATTTCCTTTCATTGTTGGATACAATCTATTCATTGCTGATGGGCATTTTGACTACTTGCATGTCAGGTGATTTTCAATACAAGCAGAACAAAACTTTGTCTCCTGCAGAACAAATTGTGACATGTAGTCCGGACATTCGCACTGTAAGTTTGTAACTATGTTGCGTTAGCTCAGTGTAAATTTGTTTCTGATGAGTGTTTTTGATGGAAATGACACCATGTATTTTATTTTTTCTAGGTGGACATAACTGATGACACTGAATTTCTTATTATAGCAAGTGACGGTATCTGGTAAGTCTGAGCTAAAAATAACACAAAAGACTGTTTCATTGTGATGACTTGATTCTAAATGCAATACTTGATACATAGTAAAGTCACTCCAGTTACCTTACATGCTTGTTTCATCTTAGGCCAGTATTATTTATCACTCGCGTTTTTTACATTTTGGTTCAGTTAAGTTCGATCCGCACTGTACTACAATGGTCTGAGTTTGAGCCACTTCATCACCATGTGTAATTCAGTTCCCAATTTCTCGAACCGGGGGATATTAAGTTCTTTTTCTGAGTTCTGAAAGGGCAACATCTGTCAATTCCTGGGTTAATTATTGCTTTGTAGTGCATAGATGAATTAAATTTGATGGTTCCGTATCATGTTGATTTGCTATTTGGAAATGGTAGCATGTTTGATTGCTCTTCTTAGTGCTTGATGAAGCATTTATTTTGTTCCAATATAGGAGTTGTGCCATGTTTTCCGTCCACGTGGATGAATGCTAAAACTAATAGTAAGAGAGTAGTCACCAAAATCTGCTAGTACCCATAGAGACAGATCTTTGTTCTCATGTTTCATAGTACTCCCTCCGTTCCAAAATTCTTGTCTTAGATTTGTCTAAATACGGATGTATCAAGTCACGTTTTAGTAGTAGATACATCCATATCTAGATAAATCTAAGACAAGAATTTTGGGACGGAGGGAGTAATATAATTTCGTTTATATATTGCCATAACAAAATTACACATCTCTTGTTTTTCTTCTTCTCCAGGGACGTCAAGTCAAGTCAAGAGGCGGTCGATTTTGTAAGGCAGCGTTTGCAATCCGTGAGTCTTATTTCCTCAACTTTTTTCTGCTTGTGAATGAGACTAACAGTACATTTAAAAGAAACATCCTACCGGATGAAAGAAATTTTATCGGGTAGCATAACGTTGTTGAAGGAATGACTCTGCACATAGTAACATTCGGTGGTTGTATGCATATGGGCTGGTTTCCATTTGCAGATGGAATTGTTGTTCCTGTTGGATTGACATATGGTGTGATGAACGCAGGGGGAGACAAATCTGCGTGCCATTTGTGAGAGACTTCTTGATTCATGCCTGGGCCGGAGAATGAGTGACAATATGAGCGTGATAGTGGTTGAGTTCAAGGCGGGCGCCCGCGCCAACCCCACTGCCACTGCTGAAGCCAGGGCTGACGAAATCGAGGTCAACATCGAAGTGGGGCAGTCCAGCAGCGCAAATGTGGAAGGGGGGCAGCCCAGCAACGGAAATGATGACGACGACGGCTCTGTCAACGGCTGCATAGGATGCTTCGGCCGCTTGGATATGTTTGAGGCCGGCGAGGACTGATGGGTGAGCTGTGCACTTACAGTTTTGAATTTTTGATCAAGAAGTGAAAGGTGATCCTGAGCTGGGATGGTTTACAGTGCTATTTTTGCTCTTTGTCGGAGACAGAATTCGTGTAGGATGATATGGTACCACTCTTAGGGTCTGAGCTGGGATGGTTTACGTTGCATTGTACTCCGTACTAGTTTCGCTGGAGATTTTGCTTGAGAGCCACTTGGATTCACGCACTCTGTTTTCTTCTTCTTCACATCTTGTCTTGGATATCAAAGATGCTTGATGGGGTAGTATAACTATGGATGTTTACTGCCTTGATGATAATTCCTCTATGCAATGCAGTATTATGCTCTCTATGTTTTCTTCTCTGGTGTGCTTTTTGGATCATCAAGTATATATATTTTTGAGTTGGAATCATCAAGTATATAATGCAAGTGTTATTAATGGGCATTAGACTGTGATCTCAGTTAGCTTTAGATGAGAGTGGCAGCAGCCTGCATTGCATCAAATGGAAGGAATTCAACGACAAGCACGAGTTGCCTTAGAGCTCTGCCATATTCGCCATACACTCCTTCTCTTCATAATAACCGTCATTGTGGAGGATAGAGGTGAGAAAACTCATCCTAACAGAATCTCTATACCCGTGTCTACCTCTAAAAATTATGGAGTTCATTCAGAAACTGGATTGGGACGCTGTTTTTGGTGCAGTCCAAAATCCAAACACAAACTTTGAGGGCTTCTTTCTCTCTCTGCCAATGATAAAGTTGCTTGTACCACTCTAGCAGTCGTGCTTCCCGCCCATTAATGGCGCCCATCGTGTGTCCAACGTGCCCACAGTTGTTGCCGGCCATTTTTCTCGTCGCTTGCGCCGTTTTCTGTCGAGATGTCCTGACACACAAGGCCTATCTAACCGCGTGTTGCTAGCGGCTATGAAACAACCACCACCAAGGCATGTATAGACACTCATTTCTTTCTAGGCCTCCCCTAGATCTGCCCTCGGCCTTTTTCTATGCCGCCATCTCACCACCCTCCTCAGGCATAGGGAATCGTGTGGTTCCATTGGGCTCCATATATTTGAGGAGCTACTGTGCCAACGAGATACGACTGACCTCGAAGCTCATGACATGGCTGGTGTCAAAGGACGAGGCTCCCGTCCTCCAGGCTTGTGGAATCCCACCTGTTGTCGAGCCAACATCGTGTTATGGACTCATAGCTAGGGAAGTTAGGGCCGCCCGCCACACCATCTATCCCGCTTTCTTCAATGAGTGGCTTCACGAATATGAATGTGCTGATATCTGCATTTTGCATCACATTTTAATAAGTTGAAGGCTCATCTACCATGTATGTTCACGGGGCTACTTCATCTTTATCTTCTTGCAAGGTTGCATTGAAGGGGCCAGAAAGCTGACAGAGCCGAAAAAATGAAGGTTTTGTGAGGGAAAATACCCATGAGCTAGAACATGGGCTCAGGTGGCTTGTGGGCCCCACATTCCATGGCCACACGCCCTAGACCCTGGGTGCGCTGTGGCTCAAAGCTCGCCTAGCCGCCTCTTTGCTACATATGTCCATCATCTACTCAAAACCATCACAAGATATTTTTTGTTTTTCCGTTAAGAGGGCAGAACATACAATCCTACTTTTCTTCCCCCTAAGGGTTAATCTATTCGGATTCAGTACCTTCAACTGGGGAATTGAAAGCCCTCATCGTCACAATTGCTAAGTTGGATGACTAAGGGCATGTACAATGGTGAGAAGAAGTAGCTTGAGGCAACTACATTGATTTTTTTTCTCCCCAACGCAAGCTACTACTAGTGGGGCTCATCAAGAAATAGAAAAAAGAAACTTTAATACATACTAGAAGAATTGGGCGCGCTTTGCTACGCCGTCGGCGTATTTAGATTTCTTAAAAAAAATACCCACTCTGTTTTAAAATATGAAGTGTATTATTTTTTAAAAAAGACAAACCTTTTATGTTTGATCAAATTTGTAGAATATATATCAAAAACCATAATATCAAATCGATATGATTAGATTCATCATGAAATGAATTTTCATACTTTCTTGTTTAATATTGTGGATATCGATATTTTCCGCTCTGAACTTAGTAATCTCTTAAGAATTTGATTTTCCAAAAAAATTGAAACCCCTTATATTTTGAACTGATGGAATATTTAGTTTGCCGGGTGAGGGAGATGATGTAGTGTATTTATTTATAATGTGGTGATTTGGTGGGTCTTTTGTGGTGTGATTATGTGTTATCCGCTAACTAACCTATATTTATGTGAGAGAATTTCTGCATCGACGGTTGCATGTATTATATTGGTGCTACACTCACACATGATAGCACTTTTTTTAAGGTGGTGAAAGGGCGTGCGGGATTGATATATTTTTGTACGCCTATTGTTATTTATTGTTTTGGAAGGTTGTTGGCACGATCAAATTCAAAATTTAATACCTCAATTGAATGAAATAACTTCAAAATTAGGGAACATAGTGAATTAAAAGAATTGAATGAAAAAGCTCCTTGAGAAATTATTGACCCGATCAAAATTAAGTTATCCAATTGTAAATTGTAGACTTCAACTAATTGTGTGGCCTTCAAAATTAGAAAGCATAGTGTATAGTATAAAAGAATTGAATGAGAGTGTTGACAAATTGTTGATTATCAAAATTGGGTGACCCAATTTCAGTTGGAGACCTCAATTTAATGTTGGCTCTTTAAAACTAGCGAGTCTAGTGTTACAGCGGTATAAAAGAATTGAACGAGAGTGTTGAGAAATTATTGACTCTGTCAAAATCCGGTGACCCAATTCCAACTAAAGACCTCAATTGAATGTTGGCTCTTTGAAACTAGGGAGCATAGTGTTATAGTGTATAGTATAAAAAATTGAACGAGAGAGTGTTGAGAAATTGTTGACTCGGTCAAAATTGGGTAATCCAATTTTAATTGGAGACCTCAATTGAATGTTCGCTTTTAAAACTAGGGAGCATAGTGTTATACTAGAAGGGTTGGGCGCGCTTTGCCGCGCCGTTGAATTTGTTGTGATTCTTAAATTTCTTTACTTGCTCTATTTCAAAATATATGGTGTATTACTTTTTTGAAAAGTCTAAGCTCTTTAAATTTGATCAAATTTATAAAAAAATATATCAACATTCATAATATCAAAACGGTGATATTAGCTTCATCATGAAATGGATTTTCATTTTTTTATTTAATATTGTGGATGTCGATATTTTTTACTCTGAACTTGGTCAAAGTTAAAGAAATTTCACTGAAAAAGGGTTCCCCCGCTTTGTATTACAAAGCAACCAACCGATACAGCCAAGGATAGGTGCTGGGGCGTAAGCAGCACAATCACTCTCAAAAGAAACGAAAGAGAAACATCAAGAGAAAAGAATGCCGACAATGGTGGATCGACGGAAACGAAGAAGCTTCATGACCACTGCGTCCACCGAAGATCTCCCACCAAGCTCCAAGGCTCCGAAGCACCGATACCCATCAACACCTCCAAAAAGGACCGCGACGATGATGACGCTGCTGCCAAGGGTTTCCCCCGATACACGACGAGGCGAGAGGAAGGGTTGCCCCCGACGCCCTCCAGGAAGGTCCGGCGGCACCCATCGACGTCGTCGCGTCGGTGTCGGACAGGCCGACAGGGGTTTTCCCCGATCCCAACCTTCACCTCGGATGCTCCAGAGCCTGCCACCAAACCGACCACCATCTTGCGCCAACATGGTCAAGAAGCCTCCACATCGTCTCACCACTTCACCACGAAATGAGGTCTGCACAACAAGGAATAGGAGTCGGGACTAGGGGCCGCAGCACCGTCGGCACGCGGGAGGGCACAACCTCCATCGTCAACGACAATAGCCGACCGTACACAATAGGAGGAGCATACCAGGGCTGTGGGCCCACAGGCCCGACCGGGATCTTCATGCCCGTAAAGCTCCCGCCACCGCGCTGCAGCAGGCACGCCGTCGGCGTCGCCGCCCCCCGTCCGAGCTCCTCCTCCTCCTCACCACACAGACAACGACGAAGCCACGCCGGGGACCGGCTCGCTAGGACCCATATGGGGCCCGCAGGGCCCAGATCTGGGCCGGGGGCGCGCCGCCAGCCAACCCGCGCCACCACGCCGTCTCGCCGCGAAGGGGCCGCACCACCACCTCGCGTGCCGCCGGCCACTTCCGCCGGGTCGCCGGGCCGTCGTCGAGCCGAGGAGCACCGCCGTCGCCCCATGCCCCGGGCAGGGAGCCGCGCGCGGGGGG